TATCGATGACGAAAAGTGCACATTTCTTCGGATGAGAGCCCATATGGTTGTATAATTTTCATTATAAAATCTTTGTGTTGTGATACAATTGATGATCTGTTGTCTGTTCAATAGTACAGACGTTTTCCAGCTCGACCTCAACAATCAATGTATGAAATTAGTATCAGTATTACACAAGTCAGAAAATCAATAACCTTCATTTTTTACCATCAGTTTCTCTTTTGTTTCTGCAGTTTTTTGTGTAAGTTTTTTATTTGTGATTTCGAGATTGTCTTTTATTCCACCACCGATTGTTAACTGTATTGTTATTGTAACTGTGTAACTTGTCACAGACTTTTTATATTTTCCTCTTCTAATGAAACATTTATAGAATTTGAAAAAGAATGAGCTTTCTTTCAATGACAGCTGCAGAGTAATGATTTCACTTCAGACTTGGCTTGCCTTATAAAGGAGGAAACTATTTTTCCGTGTTTTATAATGATTTTGGTGAATTATGAGATGATTATGATTATAAATAGTAATCAGAGGTACTATTTTACATCACACAATGGACGCTCTGGGTGATTTACCAATTTTAATAGTATGCTGAATCTTTTGTTTCATGGTACTATATTGGGGCAAATTATGACGTCAGGATAGTCCCAAATCAATAAACACTAATAAAACAATATGGTACTATAAAGAGTATGTGAGTCAGTACCTTTGTTGCTAGGTAACTCTCAGCACACCTTTTCATGTAACAGGTCATTTTACTGATCACCAACTGTTTTATACCTGACATAATGACCTTTTTATTTGTCATTTCTTACGTTTATTCTTTCCTCAATTTCCTGATAATTTCTAACTACTTCCCTGTATATTAGTAAAGGAAATTATCGATCAAATTTCCTTATACACCAATTTCTTATTGATGACTTGGTAACAAGGTAAGAAGCTGATTTCTCTTTACGCCAGCAAACGTATTCAAAAAGTTGTACGTCTTATTTTTGTGGTCCTCTGGGTGCATGTTATGGGACGCTTTGTCTCATATTTACAGTTTAAGTGCCCTCTTGCGTGGTATTGTGTCCCTTCAATATTCCGATTATCCCGTGCTGATGCAAAAAGCTAGTCAGAACAATGCCAACTATGGTATCTGTAGGTCAGTTTCTTGTACAAATCTATTGCAGGTCATTTAAGAGCAAAAAAGTCAACAGCTGTCAAACTAGATTTGATTCTAGTGTACCAAGTGTTCTCAGGTGCGGAGTAGATCTGATACTTTACAAAGACTTTATGGCATCCTCAATAGTACGTCTAGTTTCGTGACCAAGGATCGTCCAACAGAAAAAAGAACTTCCTAACAAACTAACAAAATAAACATGAACTCATTTTGTTAAATAGGGAATGTCAAAATGGTATCACCTTACTAAAGTAAATTAATTTTCCTGTAAAAGTTTGAAGTTGGTGACTCATGTCTTATCGATTGTAAAGTAATGCCCATCCTAAATATCTGTCAGCATGACCGAACCCCAAGCTCTCTCGTTTAGTCTAATAAAAAAAATAAATTGTTAAGAGCTGTGAGTGTCGACGAGACATTTGCCTAAAACACCAATCGATTTTTCTGGTAAAAAGGCATTGCGTTGTTTTGTTATTCAATGTGTTGAGTAACTGTGTCAGGTTATAGTAAAATAGTTGACGGAATAATGCCAGTCCGATTGGCTATAATGACAGACACTTGAGAATTAAGCTAGGAATTGATGATAAGAATGTCATATTACATGGACAGGTAGGCACTAGTTTTTGTGTATGGATGTTTGTGTTTTAAAAGAAATTGTATTAAATATTGTATAGAGGAATCGGCGTCAGACAAAGACAAAGAGATGCAGTGACAGATATGGTGTGACAGTGCATGTGTCTGCTAGCTCACGTCATGTCTTTGTCATAATGTTGCATTTGATACCGTACAGCTAATAGACATAAGCAAGGGTACTAAAATATCGACTTCTTGTTAAGACTAAATTATGTATAATATGCTTCAAATTAATAGTTAAAGAGTGTATTATTTAATTTGATAAATAAGTGTATCTAATTCAAAAATGATAAAAATTGTTAAAATATTGCATTTTATTGTACATATTCAACGGTAATTGATAAATGCAAATATGAAAATTATTCTTTTTATGCATTTCAATTTATCTCAAATGGCATAAATTTACCTAAAATTTACATATTTGAAAATGACGTCAAATTTAAATCGAGATATTTTTTTATTTTTTAGGTTTTTCTCGGTTGAGTTGACAATTGAGTAGATTATCATATCATAAATAGAATGGAATGTCTTTGAAGGTAAAAGTATTGATTTATTCAAGTTGCGGATGTCTGGAACTTAGATATTGATATCAAGACGGATTGCCTCGAATATCAAGTGCATACTATATATTTGGAAAGAAAACTTTGTCATAGTTCACCCGACAAATGTCATACTAAAACTAAATAGCTATTTGACATAGTCCTAAAAATAAAATTATTTGAATATGTATAAAGTATATACATGAATCGTGTTGATTGAAATCCGGAAAGGAAGTGAACAGGAAACATAATACTTTCTTAAACTAACATAACTACATATAATACTATCTTTACTTTATATTATCCTTATAATTATCATCTTATACCATAACTATATAAATATTTCTACTTTTATACTTCTTTTTCATTAATTTTCATTCATCATCCTATGATGTGATTTAATTGCTGAATTTCAGCTGCAATCACGTTGTATGCTGCCAAAAATACTACCAATTTTATCATAAGCAAATATATATCTGTCTGAAATCAGTCGCATCATGACAACATGACAATAACAAATGGATTACTAACACACATGGTTGTCATGAATAGTTACTGTTAACTTTACATGATTCCAAAAAAACACATGGTATGATTAATAATTGGAAATCATCATTAAGAATTATCACCATCATCAACATAATCATCACCATCATCATAAAAAATCGTTATCATCAATCAAGAAATTATATCATACATATTACATAAAGAATAATTCAAAACTATCATTATCAAAAATGACATCATCTTTTTTAAGAATTATCTTCATATTAATCAAAAAGCATGCTTGTCAATAATCATCATCATTGTTTAAACATTCATCCTTATCAAAACTCATTATCATGTATATCATAACCATCATCATGTCTTATCTTTTTCGTATTGAGCACCCATCAGCACCCATCAGCACCCATCCATAATCATCAATATCATGAATAAACTTTCATCCTTCACAATAACTTAGATAACGTAAAAACGTTTTTCTTATTCAAAGCATTCTCTTATCTCCGTCTCTGAGGATCTATATTTCTTTATTTCAGACTTCTAAAAAGATTCTCTTATAAAGGCGATTAGTGTTCAGAATATTATGTTCAATGAAATAATGTGTGCAAAGTGCTTTGTGGAATTATGTGAATTGGGAGTGGGGTGTATAAAAGCTTATATAAAAGAGATTAGAAATATTGTGATTTCATTACAACAATGTGTACTCTATAAATCTGTTTATGTACAAAATAATAGTGAAATGGATTTTATCTTTACGGATATAACTTGAAAACAGTAAGTAAAAAAATTTCTTTTCTCATTATTATAAATAATTGATAATCTTACAATGTATGGTCCATTTAACTTTGGTCTAGAATTCTTCTTCGTTTTCTTTTCAATTGATTTGTATAAGATGCTTTATTAGTTCTATGTTGGGTTTGTTTTTTGTCTTTGGGGATATAGGAATCAGAAATAGAAAATAACTTTTGAATTAAAGATAGTGTTTGAAATTGCTTATTAAAAGTTAACTATTTTAAGAGTAGTTCTTTTTTTTTTCATTCATGATAAAAATGTTACTTTGTTACTGCTTTTTTTTTACTGTTCAGGTTTATATATTATATATTATAAATTCGATCAGGTTTAGGTTTATATATAATGACCTATAATACACTGAAAGATATTTAACTAGGCTATTGATTATATTATTATAAATTTGTGAGCTCAGAGGGTAAATATTAAACATGAATTCCACATTCTAAGATGTGTTAAGATCTATCTAATATATATTAAAATATCTTGTTTTCTCAGACTCTTGGCAGCAACTGATCAAATATATTGACAGGTTTCTCCTTACCTACTTTTGTTTTATAAATTATCTATTACATTATTGGGACCAAATAACATTCTCTAATAGAAAACTTATTTCCGATGAAATGAAAACGCGACTAGCCAGAACGTAAACATAGTGCCAGACAATAGGAAGTAGAATTGTGTTATTTTTATTCTGGCTAGACACCGACCATGTTTCTAACATAATGAAATATTTATGATATTTTTTTTTATCTTTGATCTCCTTTCATACTTATCGAACGTATTGATTTCACTTCCAAGTCCGCACTTTTTTCATTACTTATTATTGTTTTCATTTGACAGAGCGATAGAACTACAAGAGTTAAGTCCCTTGATTTTTTTTAATTTATCTAAACGATCACATCTAGTAAGCAAGCAGTCACGCGCTTATCTTTTGAATAAATTATCTTTCTACTAAGTTTAAAAGATTGAATAACTGGCTTGTTGAAAATTATCACTGGTATACCAATTTGTCAACAATTCTGCTATAATACACACAGTAACTCAAACAACTATTTCCACTTCGAAATTCATAGGGATTACGTCATTTTGTATGAATATTGAACTTTGCTAGCACAGTTCTGCAGGCTAGGAAAGAAATCGCGTGGTGCTAAAAATCAATAGAGAATTTGGACATATTGTAAACATGAGTTTAATTGTTTAATATTTGACAATTTGTTTATTAGTGATTTTTTATGACGTATATCAAAGTTAAATCACGTGATGTGAGACCGTGTTTTGGGTGTAGTGAGTAGTAGTGGAGAGCTAGAGAGAAGGCTGTGAATGATATTTCCTCATGTTGCTGCCCCGATAGGAATCTGTTTGGTCCAGGAAATAGTGTGATGGCGGATGAAAGCAAGGGTTCAAAGTGTCCCGTTTCTCCGGAAAATTTTTTCCGAGATATCTCTGAGGTACAGGACCCGAGCTTGCGACGGGCGACATACGCATCTTTGGAAACGGGCCAATTGACCCCACTGCTGAAGGAAGAGTTGAAATGTCGTATACAATCAAGGCGTTTATCAGAAGGAAAGGAGGAACTGCTTGTCGATTTTACATCTCCGTCCAAATTTCAGGTATAACGCCATTTTTCGTTGTAAACCTATGTTTTATGGTTATATTTGGATAAACTATGTTGTAATTACCTATTTTGTAGGATAGATTCAGTGTATAAGCTGGTAGTGGTTTACATGTTGTAAGGTTGTAGTAGGAAAGTTGTAAAATATAACATACAGGAAACTGTATAGTCAATAATTGTACTGCTCCGAACGACCGGAATTATCATTTTTCAAGGTTACTACGATATGTACTATTCATCTAAAACATTGATTAGATCTTATAATCGGAACTGGTTTCAGACTAAATGGAATATGTATTACAAAGGTTTTTGACACCTGCCTTTATGATAATTTTGATCTTTGCTGATGTCATTATTTCGTGGTTGTTGCTTGGTGGTATTTTGTTATTTGTGTTATGACATTCTATGTTCATGTTTTGTTATTGGTGAGGAAATATTTGTTATTGTTGGTATATATTTTGTTGTTTGTTTTTGGTGGTATTTTGTTATTTGTGTTATGACATTCTATGTTCATGTTTTGTTATTGGTGAGGAAATATTTGTTATTGTTGGTATATATTTTGTTGTTTGTTTTTGGTGGTATTTTGTTATTTGTGTTATGACATTCTATGTTCATGTTTTGTTATTGGTGAGGAAATATTTGTTATTGTTGGTATATATTTTGTTTGTTTTTGGTGGTATTTTGTTATTGTTGGTATGTATTTTGTTGTTTGTTTTTGATGGTATTTTGTTATTGGTGAGATAATATTTTGTTATTCCTGTTCGTTGGTGTAATATATTCTTATGATGGAATAAGATTATTATTGCTGTAATATTTTGTTATTGAGAAACAACGCATTTTTATTCAAGCAATTTTTGTATTGTTTGGGTAATAATTCCTCTGTGCAATATATTCTTATGATTCAAATTCCGTCTGCATTATATCTTTCTTTTGGGTGTATTTTTTTTTCTTTTGTTGGTTTTGTGAGGTTTATTTTATCATAGTTGATTTTGATGAAGTATTTTATGTTTGTCTGTATAATATTTTGTTATTGCTGTTTATTTTTTCTGTTGTTGTGGAGATTTTTAATTTTTTTTTTTTGTGATGATTGATAATTCGCCCATGTTGATGCTGTATTTTTTTTTATGTATATTTTGTTAGCAATTTAGTTTTTTTTAATATTAGTTTCTTTGATTGTGTCTTAGATATTTTTTCTAGAAAAGTGTTTATTTTGTTTTAAATAAGAAATGACCAAATAACAACAACGGTATTGAAAATAGCATATTATTCTCTATATTTTGTTTTCTTTTATACATTTTCAATTACTCCATTGTGATTTTGTTTTCTATGTATATTAATTCAATAGTAAGCTTTTGTGTTTTGATTTTGTTAGTCAGTCAATTAGGTTAGTGAATTATTATGAATATATGTATAAGGTTTGTGGTGTTTCTTAGTAAAATTAGGTTAGGTCTTTTAGTTAACAGACTAGGTTAGCTTGACATTGATATTATTAAATTATTATGACCACTCATTGATTCTTCAATATTTATTTCTATTAAATTTATTAACGTACATACATGTATATCTGTATTACCTTTATATAACTGACAAGGATAAACTAAGATATCTTATTGATGTGGTTGTGCACTTGTTTCTAGGTCTATTCTGTTAAACTGTTTCATTATGTTACAGTGCTTGACATTATTGATCATTTGCAAAGCGATTTCTTTCAATGATCGTAATTTATAAATTTTAAAAAAAATGTATCTCCATTTTTCATGATTGATATTTTATTTTGGTTTTCTATTTCTTTTAAAATTTGTCTGATTATTATTATTTTTTTCTCGCATGATTTTGTTCCTTTCAGATATCTTATTTTCATATTCTTTGATTTTTTCTGTGATTATTACTTGCATTGCCTGGTTGGTGAGATTTCAATAATATGCAAAGTTCAATTTGAATTTTTGGTTATGTATCGCTAACAATGCCTGGAAGAAACAATTTTGAAGAAAAAGTTTAAACTCTATCCACAGAATACAAAGATTCCAAATTTAGGTATTATTGGTTTGAAGTCATTAATTGGTTTATTATAGGGTGGGGTGACGCCTGAAATAAATGTTTACCTTCCTGCTTCTATATATCTCACAAAGATTTCTTAAAAATTGTTATACGGTTTTGTAAAATGTTGACGTTTTCAATGGAAATTCCTTTTTCGTTGCTTCTTTCATTTTGTTCTTTTCAAAATGTGTCTGATTTTTTGTATTAGTCGTGTTTTTTCCCTTTTACATACAATAATAGTCATATCATGTGTGTAGTGGTTCGTTTTGTTCATTTCATTTCATTTCATTTCATTTCATTTGTTTCAACTTTTTAGCTTGGTCGATGATAATCTTCATAACACATTAGTACAGGTCTCAATGAATATTTTCTTATTTAATTGTTGCAGTATTTAAGATAACGAAAAAACGATGCCAAGAAACGGATTTTTTCATTTTTTACAGCTTCAAAACATAATATACTAAAAATAGGGAAAATTTGTAATATTTCTTTAGAGAAGGTATATATTTGTACCAATTGTACATGTGGTTAGAAAGAGGAGCGTGTGCATTTTTTTCCGCTGCTCAGACTACTTGTATATTTGAAATTTTTTAAAAATGAAATGTCTGCCGTTAATCATACCAAGAAAGGACAAAGCTTACTTTATAATTTATTCCGTAACAAATAAACAGATAATAATTTGATCGTTTGCTACGAAATTTAGAGGATTTTTGTACTTTGTTAGATTTTTCATGCTTATATGTGGGCTCTTAGGTCAGATTTAGTTATTTTTTTAAAAAACAGAATAATTATATGACAGGAAGAAAATGTTTGATTAAGTTAAATAACCATGGGTACATTTGGTTTACAAGAATGTCATACAGATTTCAGAATTAACAATTTGTATCAAAATGGAATGGAAATCACCCTTAAAGTTATATAGAGTACAAGTACACTGCGGCATAATGAAGTCAATGTCGTATTTAAATATATTATTAAAATCATGAATTAGCAATCAATGAAAAATGTCTGAAGGACTTTATTGTGTCTGAATATTTCACATTCTTGAAATATTTTGAATAATATAAATAGTATGTAATTGACTCTATTTTAAACCAATGGCAAGGCAAGGTATGTAATTTAACAGCTGGCTCAGTGTGCTCAAATTTTTCAAGAGAGCTTTCCTGAGAAGGTAAAGTATGCACTCACGACAGATTTCTAAAAAATAGTACTTGTAAAATGATTAGAACATAAAAGGAACAAAATTGAACTTTTTATACCATGATTGAGTTTACAAATCAAGTAATACAATTCAAAATTGTTCAACATCATTAACTTGTGTCTTGTCTTAGATTTGATCAATCTGATAATGATTTCAAGAATGATTAAAATACGATAACAACTTTAGTCTATAGTTAATCATTATATTTATATAAATGTCCACATTTTCACTCGGGCTTATGAAATACTCATTGGGTTATCAAGAATGGCAAAGTTATGTTTATGAAACATAAACATAGGGCTACAGGCTTATACAAAAGTGTTTTTTTTTTTTACCCCCAATCGTATCCCCACTTCAGTTCCCACAACACAAACCCATAATGTGTACAGCCTTTCTGTGGAGGGCTCTGATTGGTTGTGTTCCCTGGCGTACAATTCAATCAAATTGATGCATTCATTGATACAAGAATAGTTGCTATTGCACTTAAGATAAAAGTGCGAATTACCATTGTGAAGATGAGTTACGGTTAGCGTTACGCTATGATTATTTAAGCTACAGATAAATGTTACAAATCAGCTTAGATCTTGGAAGCTTAAATCTCAGAGTCAATGTTTATCATAAAAAGATAACCTCTGTACATTTAAAAAACACCGCTAGATTAATGAAGAAAACAACAGGTATTATATAATAATAGTTACCTTGGACTCGGCTTATCAGTTTCAAGTTTATACTTCTTAAAGTAATTTATAGTATATAAAAATACTCTTCCTAAAGTTGTCACTCCTGAATGCACCAAAGAAACAGTATGATAATCATATGTATTACTACTGCATTGCATCAATTTGTTTTTGAAAAAATTTGGTTGACTCATTCAAGAAATTTAGTGGAGCGGATTGATTTTTGATTACATCTTATTTCTCCTTTTTCAGACTTGCGAATAGTTTTAACGCCTTGGTATTTTGTCAGCGATGATTCCCTCTCCAGTTAATGACTTCTGAAACCTATTTTCCTTGAACTACATTCAGATCTAATTAAGATTAAATGTTATTTATAGATTAAAAGCATATTAAATATTTTTCACTCAATCTAACAGCAGGAATGTGTGCACTATCTATCTGTCTTTCATCGTGTGTAACACTTTGTGTTATCCAGTTATTCCTGACCTGGATTCTGGTCGAGTTGACTAATTAGTCCCTTTCTATTTTATTGATGAGAAAATGTCTAGACTGATATTATGATTGGTCTGTTTACATCAACTGATATGGACAAACTTCATTATTGACATCTTTTGAACGGAGAAGAAAACATCTAAAAAATTAAACACCAAAATGATCTCTGATAATTTCTTTAAAAGCTTCGTTAACGCTGGATTATATGACAATATAGGGTGTTGTTATTGTTATGTTATAGAAAATATGCATTGTAGTAGACCTAAGAATGAAGCATGCAAATTATTTATGATTTCATTAATTATACGGTTCGTTGTACGTTCATCAATTTCATAAATTAATGTAATTATGTATCGCTTTATCAGGGACGTATCTAGAAAATACCTGAATGTGGTGAGGGTCAAAAATGAAAAGTGTCTCTCCGAAGCGAGATCAAAGAAGACGGGAACGGATCTAGAAAATGCCTAATTGGGGGTGGTTAGGAAGGGGGTGAGGGGAGTGAGGGTAGGGGGCAAATATGACAGGTGTCTCTCGGAGGCGAGACTCCCAGAAACCAAAGGATTTGGCCTGAGATTAATTTTGAGCATTTAGAGGGTTTGATTTTCATCCCTTAAATACGCCACTCCACTTTATATGTGTGTATATATTACTTGTATATCATACATATATAGATTATCAATTAATAAACTTATCATATCACAATGATGTATTGTATTATATAATTATCATACAGATTTTTATCATAATAGATACAAATTCGTTTTGCGCAATGGTGTAACTGTGATATTAAAAGTTTCTTCCCATTAGATGCGAATTTGATTGAGAAATACCTTTTGTGAATAAAAAAAATCCTAACTTTTAAAGATGGGTTTCCTTGTTTTTTAGTGTCAAATTAAGCAATTTGATTAATTGGTGTTTCTAATGAATTATCATGTATTCTTAATCATATCAATATGATCTTATTGCATATGATTAAAGAGTTTTAACCAATCATAAATGTCCGTGTATGTACAGTCTTGATAAAAAAAAAAAATACTTTTTGATCTTTCTTGATCGGCCATTCATTGGAATTCTGTTGGTAATTCTCCTTTAATTTAGCTAATTGTGAATTAAGAACATTTAGAGTCATAAGAACACCTCTACTTTCTATTCATATAAGTATTTTCATTTTCATAAGTAGTGCTTTACATATTACATTTTATTATCAAATAACGCGTTGTCGATTATTATTATGCTACGGTGAAAGACCCGCTCTGTGTAAATGGTTTCATGAAGTATTTCATTATACTTCTAATAATTTTCATATACTACTCATTACAAATTATCTAGCCGATACCAGCGGACAAAAATACATTTCAAACAATACCATTTTAATATTTTTTGATATACAATGCACATTATTAACAGGTTACAATATTCATGTATCAATATAGGCCTATATTTGATATCTGTATAAGTCATGCATATAGATAGGCATAAGTCTTTGTGTGTTAATATCGTCATAACAAAAGTGCCTGAACAATAAAATTTATACAGTTATAATTCTGATATAATATATACTTTTTATATTAAAACTTAGATTATTTTATTTGATGATGAATTGTCAATATCTCGTCACGTAACAAATGATCCTTTTTAATTAAATATATTATACTAGAGATAACGATGGTTATAATAGTACAGATAACTTTGTTATACTTTCTTTGTTATGAATTTTTATTGAAATGCAATAACTGATTCGAGATCCCAAACAAAATGTCTTTTGTTACCGTCAATTGTTCTGTGGCAAATGTTTTTGTGAAAGATAGATCTGAAATATTTTAATATATACATTTATTTCTTCATATATTTACATAAAATATATAAATATTAAAACAAAACCTACAAAAATCTTGTTGTTACACAGAGTTTCACGATATAATCCGACCTTCAGACATCTGACCTAGAGTTGTACAAGTAGAACTTATTCTCATGTCTACAATTCGAGACAAGTTCAGAGACGTAGGCTGAAATAGGTCAGTTGTCTGAAGATCGCATAGCGGTTTAATATCTCTATATCGCTCTACAATTGATGTATTGAGCACTATTTTAACAGTGAGAATTGTTTATTATTATATATGTTTCAACATCAAAATTTTCCACGTGAATAAAGATTGAAAAATACCAAACATATTGAACATTAATTCATTTCCTTTGTTATTATATTTTAAAGTCGTTTTTGACAAAACATTTTTCTTAATGTTGTAATGATAAGAATATTTTACACTTTTCAGCCAAGACCTGATGAGATTGAAAAGTTAAATAAAAGAAGAGAGCAGAACCGAAGAGCTGCAAGAAAGTTTCGACAAAAGAAACGAAAAGATGGAGATAATTTGATGAAGGTGAGCTCTATTATTTCAGTATCGAATTGGCTGAAAATGCAAATGTAGATGTTTCTTAAGAGGGACAGTTGCGCCACTTTTTTAACCAATCAAACTTCAGACTCAGAAACGGTAATCATCGTCGAAATTTGAGCCTTCAAATCTATGTGTTTCGAGAATTAAAGGCGATCGAATGTTAAATTGACAACTGGTCAATTTAAGATAGGCCTACTCTGTAATAGGCCTATATAGAATAAACATCTATAGAAATAGTGAGTAAAATTCCTAGTTTGAAGTAATTTTAAAGGAATTATGTGATTTTCTAGTACTTCTGAAGACTATACTTACATATAATCAACCCCCCAAATTGGTGCATCCCGTTAAGTTTGTTTTCTGTGGAGTGCTACACATCAATTCTATGTTTTGAAGATCGCGTCAAAAACCTTTTTTAAGTGGCCTGCCTATAAAGCCCAGGGTAGATAATCTTTAAAAATCCCTTCCTGAACAGCGCATTTGATTTTGATTGGTTGTATATTTCAATAACCAAGAGCATGATATTTTGGATATCAATGTTACCAGTTTTATGATGAAAAGTATATAATTACCAACAAAAAACCCCATATATATCTATATATTTGCATTTCAACCACCCTCCCGAAATATTGGGTCTAATGAAAGTTCATTGTTTATCGGCTCATGGTTAAGAATTTGTCGTTTGTCCAGGTGCATTTAATAAATAGATAAAATTAGACTAATTACATATATTAGTTCTATTGATAATGACAAAATATAACACTTTATAGTTCTTTTATTGAGATTAGCATCAAATAATCATTCCTTATAACCGCATAGTTTTCTGAATACCTGTAATTCTTTTCTTTAAACTAAAGGAGTCAGAAAAACTGGAATCCGATAATACCTCGCTACAAGAAGAAATAGCCAAATTATATGAAGAAAGAAAGAAATTAGAAGAGATATGGAGTGACCACACCCGCAAATGTCAATTAATTACAACCGGCCAATCAACATCTAGCACAGATGTCACATGATCATGAAACATCATCATTATTATGCACCAATTTCCATTCATGCTGATCTCTCTTTGTCATTACAACTCGTTTTAGATTTTAGACTTAAAACATTGAATTCATTGTTATTTGAATATTTTAGATATAACGTAACAAAATAATATATTCAGACTTTATAAAAGTTTCAACATTAAAATTGAACATAATTCATTCTCTTAAATAATCGTATTAAATTTTCAGTCCATTTCAATGAAATATGAAACTCATAATTGAATTCATACGTTATATCTTAAATATTTCAGTGATTTATTGTTACATATTTCATGTTATATCCTCTCTAGTTATAATCATATTTCTGTGATATATATCCTCAAACTAAAGCTGCTTTATACAAACAAATCAGCCTCTTATAGCGACTCATCGGTCACCTCGCAGTTAATGGCTCATGTTATTATAACTAGCCTAAACTTACGATTCCATTGGAAATACACCGAAAGGCTTACTTAAATTACATATGGACGACTGAAGTGTTTGACGTATTTGAGAGCAAAGATATCATATTATAGGTTGTAGATATTTTGATTTGGATACACCTAGATTGAAATTATCCTTCTTTCTTAACTACGGGATTGATCCAATTTTACATTAAGCATGGATGTACGATTTCTCATGGAAAATGGAAGCAAGGTACAGAAGTTTATGTTTAATTGTGGTTTAAAAAGCAGCTTTGTTGGTTTCCACTGTAGGCACTGTCCCTGAAGGTCTGACATTTTCTGAGATATCCCACGAGTCTTACTTTCTCTGAGAGAAAACCAATGAGTCGCTATACCATCATTATTATATTATAGCTCAATTATCATACATTCAAATGTTTTCATATAGTTAAGTTTTTACTGATATTATATAGCTGTTTTAACTGGTTACGAATTATACAAGTCATGTTGTGGTTGGTTACAAATTTGATATTGTCACTGAGTGTGATAACTATTTAGAATGATGTTATAGTTCCGCTCCCGATTCTATTTATGGTAATTCATAATGTGCGTATATGTGTACATGCTTTTCGCTTTTATCACATCTACACATTGCAGTTCCTAAAGAATCGTTCGTGCTGACAGAAAATAGCAAATTTTTCTTGTCCAGAAAGATACGTTTTTGTCTATTTTTGCAATTCATTTCTCGAAAGTCCTGCACATTAAAATAACATCTCCTCGACATTTATTGAGTCTGACCTTTAATGTCACGAACAAATCTGTGATCATAGTCATCTCTTTCCACGTACACAATTGGCAATGATGGTAAAATATGTGTCACTAATAGGTTGAGGAAACAATCTCATTGAAATTGTAAGTGTTGGGCATCAACCTGCGAGTCAAAATGGAAAAACCAATAAGTCAGCTAATATACAAAATGCCATTAATATGATTAGTTCATAAATAGAATTGGGAATCTGTTGGTTGTTAATGTTTAGAATAGTGTTTTATGCTTCCAGTGTTATATGTATTTGAACGATGATCAGTATTATATGCAATTCGCATGATTATTGACCAAAGAAGTTTTAGATTTGGGTCATGCTGTTAACTGTCTGAATCTTGTTAGTCGGCATCTATTTTCAAAATATCATTTGTTCCTATTAAGAGACAGCAAGTTTCAGAACAAGTTAAATGCTACTGTAAAATAATGTTTTGGTGTTCACGTTTTGAGCAACTGAACATGCATTCGTTAAAATATAAGCAAGGATAAGTAGGGACCATGGTAGAAGCTATATGATAAATTCGGATGTTTTATCTGAGGTTATTATGTCAATACCATGATAAAATATATTTCAATGTAGTTTACCATGTTGTTCTGAACACCAAATTTTACAGTTCATAAAGCGACCCAAACCTAAATGTTTGATATTTTGAATGATCATTGATGTATCAGTAAAGACTACCATGTATCATTTTCTATCATGGAATCCATCTTTCATGTTTCCATTCATAAATTTCCATCATCTCATGACACAGATAATTTCTTCCGTGTAATTGTTTAAAGATTAATGAAATACATACGAAATGGAATAATTTGCAGGAATTTTAATTTTTTGAGAATTTAAAGTTATTAAGATTGATCGTATCCAAAGAACTCTGATACTGTCATTTAAGGAGATTTATTATTAAAAAAAAACCTCTTTGCTACCATGTTAATTTGTTAGATTCGAAATTATCATTAGTCTCAATAACATCTTCATTTTTTCACTGCAATTTAGAAACTTATGATACTGGTAACAATGGCGTATTTTCAGCAGCATAATCATCTATCATTGATTATATAAAGGTTGCATTAAGACATAATGTTTCTGCCAAATCAAAATAATCGTAGAATTTCAGAGACGTTAAAGGTGCATCTTCGAGATGAAAATAGTCTTGATAGGTATTATTTGTGTCAGATTATCTTATTTGTTACGAATACTATTTGGCTTTAAAAGTTCCATTGGCAATTTTTTAAGTAATTGATCAATTCTATCTGTATGTGCAACTTTCATGTTGAGAAAAAATTTGGAACAATATGAAGACAATGAAATGGTATTCTGTATTATAATGTATAGGGTAAGAACGAAATATAAACCATTTAAATACCTCAAATATTCAATTATTGTATAAGTTTATTGGTTTTTATATGTTTAATATGTAACTAGCTTTAAACAGTTTTTGTATTGATATTTTTGACTCATAAATCAAAATACTGTACAATTTGTACTTATATGCTGTCAGTATAGTTTTATTTCTCAAAACATAAAGCAATACCAGATTAAGTTAAAATTTTGGCCAAATATTCTATGATCCTCAGATTTATCCAAATTTTTGTTGTTGCACATCTGAAATACAATTATAATATGCACTAACTAGTTGGTATGATACTTTCAAAACTTATATATCCTGTATTCTATAATCCTTAAAATACTTTCTGATACATGAATTTATTGTATACAAAATATTTCATGTTTTATGAGGATCATTCCAACTGGATGAGATGCATTAGATATATTTGTGATATAAAATTTTGTTTTGATTTGTGATGCAAAGCAACAAATACATCCTGTATTATTGCCAGAATACCTAAATGGTTTTAAATTCTTAGTTAATTTTGGCAATCTTTCTACAAATTCTAAGAATGTATTACTCACTTTTTAGATTTTAGTGTTCTTAATTTGACTGTTGAAATAAAAATGGCTCTGTGCATAATCAAAAATGGCGATTCGGTTGAAACACAAGATGTAGCATTTTTATATGTTTTGAAGTAAAAGTTTAAATTCATTTAAATAAAGAAAGAAAACGATAACAATTTCATATAAAAAAGATAATTGTAATTTTGTTTTTATGATCTAATAGATAAATGTTAATAAATTTTCTTGTTTAATATGCACGTGTTATTTGCATGTCTGTGTTTAGGTAATGAGCTGAGAAATTCTTAGATCATGGTGTGGGTGTTCAATAAGGAATACGGGCATTGAACTATAAATACAAAGGTAATTTTTTTGAATCTATCAAGTTTAAATTATAGAAAGTAGCTACAGGGAGACACCCCCTGCAACTGAACACCTTTGACCTTCCGAATATATTTCTTGCACCCGCAAACATTCAAGTCTGGCCTACTACATTCATATTTAACAGGTTGGTTGGTAGACGAGTTAACTTCCGGTTCCAACATAGACTGATGTCACAGACATAATGTAACATATTTATAACTTTATTTTTACTTGACTGACCAGAATGAAAAGTTGATAACAATCTGACAATGTCAAGATACAACTATTGTGGTCTGGAAGTAATTAGAGGTAAACAATAGATGTACAATCAATATATATGTACTGTTTTACACATTATTAACCATCATCAGTTTAATTCAATAACAAACAATATGTCATCAGGTACAGTTTTCTAAAAATAATTTTCTCACTTTAAAGTGTTTTAAGTGTATATTATTATGACCTATTTTGTATGAATTACAAGACAACAGAGTTTCTAAGAATATAAAGATCGTTCATTACAAAACATAGACAATACAACATATGGATCAAAAGGAATAAACTTTTGAATCATAGAGATTTGTACATAATGAAAAAAAGTTACTGTAGATCTGATCTAGGCCTGTTATAGCCTACTTTAAAACAAACACATTTAACCTAACTGAAACCCACACTTCAGAGTTTAAAGTAACCTGGTATTGCACCGTGGTAGTTAAAACGTATGTACGTGCATTTTCCATCGAGAATGTTATTATATAATACCTGTAACAAAAAGTACACTAAATGGACATGTATCAATGAAGAAAGAAAAACGGCGAAAATTGAGATACTGTCCAAGGGAGATAATAAACCTAAATTATAAACATTACGTGAGGCAACTGATCGGGAATTTACGATTAGTGGAAAAATGTTTCATATAGAATATAAAAAAAAATCTCTTTGTCGACTTCTCGTTTATCTGTTCGCATGAGGGCATACATTATAAGTTATTATGGTTTTCACTTCGGCCTATGACTTATCATGTTGTCACCACAATAGTATTGCCACCAGAAGTTTCTTTAATTTTACTTAACACAAGGCTTTGTTTTTGCCTCCCTTTTTTGATTGTAGTATTATTGCGCAGTAATGGCAGGTGTGGTTCAAGCCTCTTTTCTTCTGACTGCAAGAAAGCCTAGTAGCATAGATGCATCAAAACAAAAGAATGAGAAATATACTCCTTTCGCATTGCAATAGTTATTCTGTTTTATCCAGTTCTTTCCGAACCAGTTGCTTTCGCACTGGCAAATAAACTTATTTGGTTATAGGCTAACCAGAAGTTATAGAGATAGAAAAATCTACATCCAGAGGTGGATTTCGTCTGGATACGATCCATATATTTACGCATTACGTAAATAGGCCAACAAACAAAAAGGCATAATTGAAAATCACAAGAAAGGGATTAATGAAGTAGACACGAATATTAATCGTAAAAGGAAACGGAAAATTATATTGTTATTATGTTCATAATATATAATGACGGACATTTTAATTCAATTCCGTCCATTGTGACAGGACGTGTTACTAAAACTAAAGTCATCTTGATAACTTTTCTCGACTGTGCGAACAGAACCGATTCGAATCAAACTGGATCGGATTTTTCTATACGGTTATATAACCGAATTCAATAAGCCAGTTGCGCAGTACTTTTCATTATAAAATGCTTCCTCATTGTTGCGTGTTTCAAAAACACTTTCTTGTCATAATATAAATTCTTATCAGTTCCCTCCCTTGAACGATTAAAATTATATTATTTTCATCAGTTACCTCCCTTGAACTTTCGTAGTTGGTTTTGTTTTTGCCTTCCTGTTTGTCGTGTATTGTGTATGTTGAGCAACAATGACGGGTGTGGGGTCAGGCAGGGTAGCCTATGCTTCTCAATTTAGCTGTTCTTTGAATTTCGGGTTTCGTTTTGCGATTTGAATTGTTATAACTTGGTATATTTATTTACACTACTATTAAGGAACCGTTTTCAGACCACTTGGTTTTCTGTGAGAAACATTTGACCCGATTCGCACCGAGAATGGAACGATTTACAGCGACCTAATAATAATATTTATTTCTTATTTAGCGCATTCTACGATGTATATAACATGACATTACATTATCAATGCGCTTAAGAGTAGGCCTATACATAACAATATATAAATGAAATAAAACAGAAATGAGTTTAGAGTAGTCAATTTTAGAAATACACCACAACGATTAAAGTCATATCACATTCAAAAATAAAATGGCGTTCGAAAAGAAGTGTTTAAATGTTGCACGTCCAGGTTTGATTCAGATCGTAGGTCTGGTTGTAATGTATTCCTTAGTTTTTATTTACTAATTGGGACAAGCATGCCACATGAAAGTCTCACATGCACTTTACCTTGAGACTGTGTGTTTTGGGAGTTTGCGCACCATTAAAATAGGCTCGACCACTTTATTTCCGATAAGTCTGAAAGAAGCATCAATCCAATTCTTGGAAATGTACATGAAACGTTTCACCAAATAACCTTCCCTTGAGACTTATCATCTGATGATCTGTTTATTACAATAAATTAAAAGAGTTTATTAGGTGCACAATTATTGAGATGATCTTGTTTTGAGTACATAATATTATCTATTAACTCTTCACTCCTACTCAAAGATGCAATGAACGGTTATAAAAAACAGTTTTAAGTACGCAATACATTAGCATCGATTAAAGGTCTGAAAGAAGTAAAAAGGTAATTGTTTTGGACAGGGAAAAGACTGGTCATGATCCGCCAAATTTCAGAAATTGAAACGCAATTGACCAGGTTAAATTAGGCCAAACCTTTGTTCCGTTTTTATTAGCGTTTGGGTCTAAAGACGGCCTTCTTGAACATTCGTCTGTTTGATGACACTGCCAGCCAATCAAATTTCTACCCTTTCCAAACCTTTTGTGACCTTTTGATACACGTGTATCCGAGAAGCATAATAGTAGACACTGAATCCACCTTTTGAACGCGTCACAAAATCCCAGCGTTGGAGATCGAGGAATTTGATTGGCTGGCGGTAGGCTATTATCAAACAGACGAATGTTTATATATTTATTAATGGGATAGTAAAGAGGTTTTCTAGCCATTATATGAATATCAGGGACACCTTTGACATTCTAATTCTTCGTCCGTTGCCTGTGTTACTGCAATTCCAGAAATAGTTAACCGGAAATGATGCATCTCCCGTGATCATGTGATCAATCAAGTTAGCCCAGTAGTAGTACAGTAGTATAACTGGACTAACTTGATTTACCAAATGTTCGCCTCACTGTATTCGAAACCGGCCATTTTATCATAAATAAGGATATTTAGCCCTCTGATTTGCACAATTATCATAAAACTCTTTCATTCCATTAAAATTAAGCAATATAAGACGTAGTAAAGTTATATAAGGCAACGGTGAAGCAAAATGTAGATGAGTCGACAATTTTTTATTTTTGTGGTCCCGTAAAATCCTAATAGACAAGGCGCTTAAAGGGATACTACGTCTTAGAATACACTCGTCCTGTGGCTAATTTTTGTGTTTAATAGTTACAATTGGTTAAATAAGTATGCATCCCACACTTTATCAAGTTTGAAAAAGCGACAATAAAACTATAATCATAATTTAAAAAAAAAAATGAGCAAGTGATGAATCCGTTTAAGAAAAATAGAGTCTGGGTAATCAACGCTAAAACAGGAAACAATCATCTTCCGGTGTATACAAACAAAGTTGCCAATGATTAATATTCGTTGAAAATTGTGTCAGTGGATGAGAAATTCATTCTAAATTATATGAATTTCTTTTTCACGGAGTCACTTAATCCCCCTACGAGGCATTATTATTCCGTCTTCAAAATATGTCTGACAATGTCGAGGTCAATTCAAGAGTAGAGGTCAAGGACGCGGGAAACCCCACTTGAGAGTTACTTCCCCTTGGGATTACCTAGACTCACGATTTGAAAATCGCTTAATGGATGTATTAAAGTGATACTACGTCTTAGGATGAACATAAAATTTTAATTTTGCTCAAATTTGGCCAATAACAGTATATATCCATCAGTGGACTTACCTGGTGCCTTAACTATACGTCAAAATCCCTCTATAATCCGATATATCCACAAAATCAAGTAATTAATTATAAAACGTTGAATGCATCCATTAAGCGATTTTCAAATCGTGAGTCTAGGAAATCGGGTGTAGTCACAAAGGGGAAGTAACTCTCAAGTGGGGTTTCCGCGTCCTTGACCTCTACTCTTGAATTGTCAGACATATTTTGAAGACGGAATAATAATGCCTCGTGGGAGATTAAGCGACTTTGCGAAATAGCAATTCATATAATTTAGAATGAATATCTCCACCACTGACACAATTTTCAACGAATATTAATCCTATTTTGGCAAAGTTTGTTTGTATACACCGGAAGATGATTGTTTCCTGTTTTAGCGTTGATTACCCAGACTCTTTTTCTCAAACTGAACGGATTCGCCGCTTGCTCACTTTTTTTTTAAATTCTGATTATAGTTTTATTGTCGCTTTTTCAATATTGATAAAGTGTTGGATGCATACTTATTTAACCAATGGTCACTATTTAACACAAATATTAGCAACAGGACGAGTGTATCTAAGACGTAGTATCCCTTTAAGCGTTTTATAATTAATTACTTGATTTTGTGGATATATCGGATTATAGAGGGATTTTGATGTATAGTTAGGGCACGAGGTAATTCCACTGATGGATATATAGTGTTATTGGCCAAATTTGAGCAAAATTAAAATTTTATGTTCATCCTAAGACGTAGTATCCCTTTAACGAGTTCTAAAGGGTAATAATGGATGGTAGTTAACTTTGAGAAGTATGATTCAACCCTTAATATTTTTATCACCAGCCGAGTTGTAATTGGGTGATGATTGCGGGCTTTTATTTTGGAAAATTCTTCCAGGTCATGGTTAGGTGCTGCTGTAATTGTAATGTCATAACTTCTTCTACCATTAAGACATCTCTGGTTGTCCAATGCATGACCAACCTCCCCAATTTAAAACGGTGATAAATTCATCAATTTCTGGATCTTTTTTGGGTGCGGAATGTCAAGTTCACTAGTTTGGGACAGATTCGATTGCAAAAAACGCGCGTTAATGCTTTTAACGTGATGAACAATCTACCGCACAAGTAGTGGTACGATTTCGGTGAACGTTGTTCCGAGTTACTTCTCTCGAATTAGCCAAATCGCGACAAAATAGGCTTGTGGACCCGAAAGAGGAAATAGTTTGGATAATACTTGGTTTAGGTATGCATACTTATAATTTATTGTAGTCGTGAATGTATGTAATTTTTCAAGTTAAATCTACCTTCTTCATTTTGATATACAAATATTTTTGCACAGGTTACTTCCCTTTAAATGTTAAATTTGTTCAGCTCGGCATTTGCCATATATATGACTAACTTGACACCTATAACTAATTTCATTTCGTTTTTTTCTTCTTCCGAGTGACAGGCGTCCCTTGATAGGTGCATTTGATATTTATCTATAACATCCTAATGGGCCGCATACTTTTCAGGTTCAGGAAGGAGCATTATTTCACCTTAGGCTGCATGAATTTGAGCTCCAATACAATTACTGTGGTAACTTTACTAATGGAAAAATGATGGGATAGAACTGTCTATTTTCAGAGGCCATTTTTCAAGCTACCAATCAAAAGACATAAAACCCTCACCCTGAATTCATGACAAATTTATACAAATTATTTTATGTAAACATTACGGGTGATGATGATTATGTCTTGAATTCGTGCTTATAGCTCTGCTTTGTTTCATCAACATCTACCGTTTGACAATTAAATTAGAAGACCACGTGTGTATGTGTGTGTAAATAGGCCTATATATATAACACCAGACTGAACTAATCATCCTGTTGAAGAGAAATAAAAAAATAACAATTAAAGATGTACCGGTATAACATAATGAGACATAATGAGTGGAGAATATTAGGCCTACATTACGTATTTCACTTTTCAAACCGGACTTGAAAGCAAACAATGTATTCAAAAGACCATTTAAGTTCTGTATATGTACTCGTTGGGTCGAATTCTATTTCGAAGATACTTTCTTCATTAAGGCAAAAATCAAGAAATTGAATGAGGAACGTCAATTCCTACCCATTCATCGTCTCCTATCTCATCGGCATTTGACTTGACTGTAGATGGTGGTTGAATAGACCGTATCTTTTCTGTCCATGAAGCTCCAACTTGATCACCACCAGCGAAATTTGAAACCTTACAGGAGTCTCCTTCAACTTTACCTATTGTATCTGGTGAGTAAAAATGGAATCAAAATATTTTGCCCTTTAAAGCTCATGGACGTTGACAAAATGTTGAAGAGCAAACAATTTATTACAATTGAGCACAGCTGATGGAATATTAGCTGACCCTTTCCCAAACATCGTCCAGATAAATGCAAATTGTTCAAATCCTCGGCTGTTAAAATGCAAATTTTGCACAAGTTCACTTTACTCAATCTCTGTAGCCTACTACAGAGGTGTTGAAAATTTGAGCCTTCTTAGCCATGTGTATCATTAATTATTTGTGTTTATAAACTATCTTATAGACTCATCTTTTTGAAGAACTTTCGATAACATGATAGCTTCTATCTTTTAGTCCGGCTAGATATTAATTATAAATAAAAAGTGCAATTTCTTGTTTGAGGTATATTTGAAAGAATAGTGTGATTTCGGTACAGTTATAGTAATATGGAATACTATTAACATATATTAAAGGTTCAAAACAACCCCCCAAAATGGTGAACCATGGACTTTTAGACTAAGATAATGAAATGAGTACTTACATATAAATGGACTATTGCCTTTAGTTTTCATCCGGACAACATCCCCAGATTCTAATTCCATTTTTTGTAATTCTGATTCTTCAATCCAGAAAGATATTGTGTTGGTTTGTGCTGATTTATCTGATATTTTCTTCAATTCTGATTTCTCTATCATATTAACAATTTCAGTTTGTGATAATTTATCTGTTTGACCTTTGGCTTCTGTCTCTGAAAAAAAAAAGTTTATTATCACGAAACTCCACCATGAGCCACTGAGAATCCCTAAAAAAACACCAATTATTACTTGTAATAAGAATTGTACAAGTCGAAAACTCGTGCGAAATAATAACAAAAGCAAAATCTTCAATTGGGTCACCAAATCCGTCCACATCCTAAAGGTACACGTCCACGTCCACATTCGGTCATAAAAGAAATTGTTAATGAAGAGCCAATGTGTTTTTTATTTATTTATTGATGAATACTTACTGTAGGAAGAATTGAGATACCCGGTTAATACTTTCGTCGTTTCACTAAAATTAGGTTCTATTTCCTTTCCATTTGCATCAAATTTACGTTTATGTGCACGCCCTGTTTCCACATGTAGTATGTAATATTTTACCTACATTTATATAAAAGTAAACGATATGATATTTGTAGATCAATCTCTCAAACCATTACTTCTCTGATAAATCACGTATACCATTATATCTTGCAGAGCCGTATTAGTCTACGGTCCTTTTTTCTATGAGACAATAATCCTGCCTCATTTTCCTTGCTTAGTACCACCAGATGTCCCACGGTTAGGATCATTAAATATATACTGGATTTTTTCAAAACTGTAATTAAACATAATAATTCCTCGAAAGATGCTTTCGCAAACTAAAACAAGGCTTCTTCGAGTAGATTGTCCTCCTGTTATAATGTAATCATTTGAATCATCTTACAATATTTATTCACCAACATATAAAAGAACGTGACTCGGGACTATTTTAGAGCCATAGTGGTGGATAGACTGTTTGAAGCCTGAGAACGGTTCATATCTCGATAGGGTTTACAAACAATAGTCTCGTACTCGCCTTTTTGTTTGAATTATCTGTAACTGCTATTCTGGACTTTGCTTTTATACATGCTTCAACCAATACTCCGGATCCATCTCTGAAAATGAAATGCTTAAGATACAAACATTTCCAGATGGTCGTTGGTAACTTGTGCCGTCGAATTGTTAACACTTACCCCTACACCACAGAGACTTTGATATTGTTGTCGTATATATTCATTTCCACGGAAATGGATACAATGAAATTTAATTGTGGTCTTGATTAATGTAATTGCTACACTTACTTAGTCCATTTCTTTGTATTCCAACTCTCAGGCCACGTTGTATTAATTTGAGGTAAATTTGTCAGTGGAGTATTGTCGTACAATCTACTCATCGTGAAGTCTGAATCATTTTAGAAAAGAAAGTTGCTAAATTGTTATTTCCTTTTACTTGCTTCCTGTTTGCAAGTATTCTCCCTTTAAAACTGGATTAAACGCAGTTATCTCCCTTCGACCACAATTTCCTGCCAAATGCTCGTGAGAGTAATAAATAGTCTTTGAATCAACCTGTTTTTCTACGTCAAATCCGAAAATACTAAGAATGCAAGACACTGAACCACTGCCGTGAACAACAATGTTTTTTGAGAGTAAAAAAAAGATTGACAGAAAACAATAAAATATATTGTACATAATAAATCAGAAACAAAAAAACAAAAACTTCTCTTGAAGGTTTATAACAATGTAAAATGAGTTTAATATTGATTTTTGCTAATTTTAGCACATATGGTCCAAAGTGATATTTAATACTTAATATTTACTTAAATTCTTTAAAGCAAAATTCACTTTTAAGCTTTAGAATAATGTATTGGGTGTTACAAATGCGCTCTTATCTCTAAATTATGTCTGAAATTTTAATTAAAAATAATTAAAAAGATATGTATATTTGAATTCTATAACAATAAACAAATAAACAATACCTGGCTAATTAGACTAAGATTGACAATAAATTAAAATGAATACATATACATGAAGCATTATAATATTAATACTAGTGATTGATAAATTATTTGGTCCACATAAAATGACAAATTGCATAATTTTAAAAAAAAGATTTACGAATAATATTTGAAATAATATATGATCCATTCAAATAATAAGTAATAATATAACAATTACTTAAAATAAATCACATTTCACACTTGACTGATAAACATATACCACTTCCAAATAGAAACTCCCAACAAGATTTCATCTTTTCACCATTCAGTATTTATTGACAATATATACTTATACTTGTAAATAATCTTCTAGAAACATAAAATTAAATTAATCCAACTCATACACCAAATAATCATTAAATATTTTCTATTTAGAAAAAAAACTCATTACACTTAGTAATTAACCCACTTGGAATAACCCTTTGCCAAAAGAAAACAGATAATCAGAAAAACATCTGTATATATATACCCGGTACATGCAGATATTATAAAATAAACACACAGCTATATATTGTTTGATGAGTAATGAAATATAGATCTAACTGCAGTCTTACACCAGGTTTTCCCTATTTACTTATTGACCTACTTGGATTTACGTTTAGTTGAGAGGAAAGTACCTATACCAGAATAGTCAGAAAAATATATTTAAGTACATATTATTTTAATATATTTTTTCAGAGGCTGAATATTTTGTGATAGGTGAAAAATGTAATGAATTGAGACTATATTTGGATTGAGAAATAAACATACAGTCATGAGCATTAAGGAAAATGTCACATTTCCAATTGCCTCAGGATTTCATACATGACAAACATTCAGTTTGAAAATTGCCTTAAATTTCCATATCACCATATAACGTTTTGAACATTGTTTATGACTGTATTCTTGAAAGAACATTTGGAAAATGGTGTTTTTGATTTCGTAGATATTTCCATATATATTTTGCTTGGATTTCACAATTATTAAATGATAAATACACAATAATATTCTTCATGGATAAGAGCCTTTTAAGGTGAGTAATGCAAATATTTGTGTTTGATATGTGGTCAGAGGGACTCAATGTGGTCCTATTGGGATTTAGATAGCAGCAAGTTAACCTTTTAAAGATCTATAAATAAAACTATCTGCTGGAATACTGAAAACCCTATTAACAACTCTAAATTTCAGACAATTATAATATATATATATCTAAAACTAAGTATCTTAAAAAATCTTAAAGCATCAAATAAGTATTTCTGAATATTGTGATGTGATCTTTGGTGAATATTCCATAAACACAAGATAAATATTGGTATAATTCAAGAAATACTAAGTTTTTGTTTGATATATCTTGACACAATAATTTGAGGTCGATTCTGCCATTCTTCCATAACATCATGAGGTGTTGAGATTTGGTCACCATGGAGACGGTCTAGTAAAGTCACACAAATTACTGCACCTGAAGATACAGAAACTCGTACAAGAAACAAGAAAATACATTATCTACAGTCCATTAGCAAAGTACAAGGAATTAGCCTTTCATTTCAGTCCAAATGAAATGAAATTGAGCTTTATGTCCATCTTTTCTGCACTTGTTTGGGCTCATTTCAGTTCAAAATTAATATTTCATCAATTAACAAGAGCCAGGATGATCTCTGACAATTACTTACTTTTAATGCCAGCTCTGTGACAGTAAGCAGAAAAACATAATGATTCCATTTCAATGTTCCGTACACCTCTTTCATAAACTCTTTTTAAAAATGACATTTTATCATCTTTACTATAATCACAGAATGCTCCATCAAGTCTGGCTTGTCCTGAAATTGTAGAGTGACAAAAATAAAATGAATTAAAGCCAATGATCAGCTGCCTGCACCCTTACAGTTACATAATGGAAATATTCCCAAAACAACACATATTCCTATACAATTGCAAACTAATTGCAAACTACAACTTTAAATACAGTACCTGTAACTCATACTGCTAAAATTCAAACAAGAACAACAGAAACAACATGATGTGAGATCTTGAAGCTTTTATTTTAGTGGTAATCAATATGTGGACGAAATGAGTCAATTGTAAAAAAAATATATTTTCCAACCTTCATAGAAATCCTGAGTACACATTGTCTTGCCCAGTAATGTCTTAAAATGGTCATTGTCTTTAGACATATTCAATAAATCGTGAGAAACTGTTTTATCTGAGCTAGCTGGGTACTGTAACATCATTCCCAGTGTGGCCTACAAAAAACAATAGAGACCAAATCTAAATCACAATCAAACCATACAATGTCTTTGAGACAGATACATATGAGTCAATCATCATTCCTGGATAATTCAGTTAGCAACAAATCCACCAAGGCAGCAACCCTATATTCACACTGAATAGACTCATAAAGTGCACATCAAAAAAAGACCATGTATTACAGTACACGCTGCAAATCTTGTAAGATATATACTCATGCATGTAGATCATTGAAACGACAATCACCCAAGGTTCATTAAATTTCAAATTGTGCTTTGATCAATTCAAGGTATTAAAATCCTGATTTCAACTTACTACTTCCATATAAGGTCTTAAAATACCATCAACAGCTTCATCAGTTATAACTACAGAACCAGGTTCCACGCCTGTAAAACAAAGAGTCTCCATAATATTCTTTGTAAATTATGCCTTTTGACTCAAAATATTGTTGTTCAATAGTGGTCTGAAGAGTTAGCTGTTAATACAAGATATGTCAAGCATTTTAGAGCTTATTAATCATGTTCTTCTCATTTACTTACCTAATCCACCACTAGTACCTATTCTAAAAAATGTAACATCACTACTACCAGCATGATGAAGAAGCTTCATTATCTCATGAAAAATGATGGATAATGATGGCATACCCATACCATGCTGCAATTTAAAATAAACATACCACAAATTATATAATATAGTCTAACCTTAATTATTATTGATTTAACTCACAAATATCAAAAGAAAAAAAATTATGTGTTAAATATTGAAAAAAATAACACTGGTAGTTGTTCCAAAATTGAGATATTTGCATTTTCTGAATTCTGTTGTTAGGACTTTAATATCATTGCTGCACTACTTTTGTTGTGTAAAACAAAAAAATCTTTTGGACAATCAATTTAATGGAGTGTCTCCATATCAGTATTTTTACTAATAAAATGAAAAATGTACTGATTTTTTAAGATATACAACGGTACTCACACTAACAGATATTACAGGTCCAACTTTATACAATACATAACGGTCAGAACCATGAGCTATATTACATAATGTCTGTCCAGCAGGTAGTTTATAATTTAATTCTTCTACCATAAACTCAGCAAATTTCTTCATACGACTAGGAGAACCACCAAAACACACAAACTACAGCATGAAGAAACAAGAATGGTGTACTACAGTCATTGATATTTCTACACATCTGAGTCCAATTAAAACATAACAGAGAACAGTCTACCTTGTTTTTAAATAATATAAGTATAGTTTCAATTACTATTTATGCTACCCATAATTATAGTGGGCCCATACCTGAATGTGCACAGTATCTTTGCTCAACTTGAACTTCAAGAGTTATCATGTCATGTCATAATATAAAGGGGAAAAAGATATATTAATGCAAAATGATAAATGAAACACCAGATTTTGAATAACCTTTTCAGAAAGGATCAATCATCAACTGTGCAGCAAAAAAAAACCCAAAAAACATACCTTGACATCTTTAAACATCTCTTTCAGATCATGTGATTTATTACCTAGTGCAATATGGTATAAAACATCTTCCTCCATTGTGGCAATGTGTGGATTGAGGATGTGCATCTGGCCATTCCTTAAAGAAATTTTTATATTTTACTTAATTGATCTAACATTGAAATAGTGTAAAAATGGCAAGAGCCAAATATAGTAGATTCTATAAAATACTGTCATCAAAGAATGCCATTTGTCTTTAATCTTTTGAAGTACATGAGGTAGGCTTTGGTGGTAGGCTAAAGCATAAATAGCATTAAACCATTCACTGCTTTTGAATCGTGCAATTGCTCTGTATGACTGAAATATTGACTCTATGGTGAAAATAGACAGAAACAGTGTAACAATATTAAATATTTAAGTGATCATCTAAACATAAGCTCATCAATTTGATAGAATATATCTGATATTATGACGCATACTAGATTAATAGTTGTCATTTTCCTTTCATTTGATACAGTATCAGTACAATTCCATTTTATATCTTGTTTATAATATCACTGGCATTTTATAAGATTTATCTGGAATTTCTATTTTCAATTCAATGTTTACTATTATATTATTAATATGTTTATATACAGTGATCTTCATAATTAAATGGTTAATAATGTTGTTGAAAATTGTCTTTATTTGTGTTTTTTAGAGGCAAATCAGTTCATTACCGGTACCATGCTGTTTATAGTAATATCATGACCTAGAATATAGATGTCAATAGTGCATTTTAAAATTTTGTGAACGGATTCAATTCAGAAATCGCAGTATTCAAGACAGTAGCTGCAAAAAATAGTAGACTCGTCACTTGGATTATTTTGTGACAGATGACATGGCGTAAACACCCAGGTAAAGAGAACTTTCCAACGATACATACTCAGTATTAATTATTATTATTAATTTTCCGTCCAAGTTTTTGAGAAAGTAGTATTTTAAGTCAAATGTGTGACTTCTTCAAAACTATCTGACATGCTATTGAAAATTTCACATTAAATGAATTTTAGAAATCAAAAGTTGTTGGATAAGAGTAGATGATGATGAAACTTACTGTGGTTTGATAACACTATCTTCAACAGATTTTATAGGCTGAAATCCTGCCATTTTGGTGACTAGTAGACTCCAGATATACAAATTAATTACTAATTATACTAGCAGTATTTCTCTATATTCTAGATCTTTCTTTCTAACCTCAAGTTCCCTGAAAAAATATGCTTATTATTAGTATATTAGTCAGCTACAACAGCTCTATATCTACATTACATTATTAGCCAATTGGACTATAGTAGTAGCCTATAGCAAGAACACAGAACTGACCTATGTATTATAGTAGATACTGGTACTCATTATAATTAAGGAATAAGAAATTGGCTTATAAGGCAAGGCACATTAACACATTAAATTCTAAGAAATACACGTAATATAATATCGATTTGAGCCAGGTAAGAATGTGTAGTAAGCCTACTAGAATGTGTACCACTGCATTGCAATTTTGGCATGTTGTAATATCTTGTTTACATACCCAAACAAGGGCATCAAAATTGATAAAAACCTCTACAGATGGACAATATTCCAACCACATCCAATATAAATTTCTATTTCTAATATACCAATGAATTTGCCGCTTAATATGTTTTTTAATACTGGTTATTCATGGGTTCTTTTAAATTTCCTTTCCACTCTTTATTTTCCTAATATCAAGGTCACGTGAACCTATGTCAAGGTCGTATCTAAACAAGGTCACCTTTCAAATTAACAATTGACAGGTTTCTGTTGAATTCAGTGATATGAAGATGTAAACAGTTGAATTTGTTACAGTGTTTTATGAATATTGATCAATTGCGAGTCCTCTTATCTAGCCTACATTTAAAAGTTTCGAGTCTGCTGTACTGAATATGGACCTCTGGTGCGTTAAGGGAGTTAACCAATTTCAACAATTACTTCAATCAGACCACAAATATACAGTCAAGTAACCTAATTTCGTGGAAACCTATTATTCGTGGATTTCCGGAAATGATTAATAATTTACATGAGCGACCTTGCGCAACCTCCGCATTAGTTTGTTTTAATAAACATGGGTTTTCTGTACAATATCAGCTAGTAGAATGAATCCAGTATTTTCAAGCAAGGTAAAATGTATTAATGTATACAAATACAAAATGGCGGATTTCACTTATTACCAAACGTCACCATTTTTTATCGGCCGAATTTCCTTATAATCCCAAGCGGTAATCGGAATTCCAAGTGTCGTCTGCTAGAATGTAGTCCAACGAATGAAGTCACATGATCAACTAGCGGATTCCGTGTCAGCAGAAAATTTCTATGGAACACAAAGTGGACCATATTTTTATGTTGTTTCAGTGACTTTTAGCAATAAATCACACTACGTATCTATTTTTATTCAAATTATAGTTCTTTGAAGGAATTGTCACTAGTTATAATGAATTAATATTAAAGATAAATACTAAGAGAAGTTAATTATACCACTCGGTATCTATACAACGTGTTTTTCTCGACTTATTTATAGATCAAACATTGTACACGAAAATAGGTGACGCATTCTGCCGCCGTTGCCGAGTTGGTTGCTCATGAAATATGGGTCAAAGTGAAGGATTCATAAAGAAAATCGAAAATAGGTTACACCACTGTACCTTTATTAAGCATAACAGCATATATTTTCATGACACTTCACAATCAGCCTTAATTTCACAGGTTATATTTAAAAGACACCAATATTGAAGAACAGGAACAGTGGCGTATTTCGGCAGTAATTTGTTAGCTAGTCCCAGAACCTAGTTGTAGGTGTTGCAGAAGATACTCTCCTATAGAAGCACTGGCCTAGGTCACAAGTAGAGACTATGGATTTCAACATGAAAACTATTTCAAGTCAAACAGAATATGTTTTACTGAAGATTATTCATAGATTATTACTTCTGGAGAGATTACAAGAAAAAATATATTCAATTCAGATTCCAATGCAATTGTTTCAGGGAGTTGATGAAAGGGGTTCTAATCTACCATGAACCAATACATTACTAAAGTTTTTAGTTCTTTTATATGCAGTGACCAAACGTTTAGTATAAACGTTTGAAAATTCATCTTGGAGCTCATTATAAAAGCGTTTGACAATGACATAGGCATTTTAGCTGTAGTTTTTTAGGTTGCAATGAAGGATTGAGTGAAATTTGGTCCTTTGAATATTGTTGTATCCAAGAAGTTCATACTATTTTCAGAAATACCTGCGGTCAGTTTTACAGAAGGGTGGTGGTTATTCAAAATTTCGAAATACTCCCAAAAGTTTGCCAAAGATTCTGTCCAAATGATAAAAATATCGTCTAAAAACCTCCCATAGTAGAGAGGTTGAAAGGGGGAAATTAATGAGGTTTCGCGTTACCTTTCTGCCATAAATATGTTCGCATAACTCGGCGCGAACCACTTCCCCATCGCAGTGCCAGAAGTTTGAAGATAAATTTTTCCGTTGAAAGTGAAGTCATTTCGCGCGAGACATATAGTTCTAATAAATCTAATATTTCTTTGTCTGGACGATCAGGACATGGATGTCTAAGAAAGGCTTTTCGAACAGCGTCTAAGCCCGAATTATTATCGATGTTTGTGTACATACTCGTTACATCTAGAGAAATAAATAGCGCATTGTCTGGTACATCCAATTTTTTAATTTTTTTCAATAAAGTCGGTAGTATCTTTCAAGTAAGTCAGATGTTTACAGGCCAATGGTAGCAGAAAGTGGTCAATGTATTCGGAAACTTGGTAAGATTCGCTAGAACAGTCAGAAATAATCGGCCTACCCTTAGGTATGGTACGCGCCATTCGGATTGGGGATTTTTATGAATTTTCGGTAACGTATAAATGTGACGTTGATGGACTTCCGGTTTTGCGCAAAGATAGTCATATTGAGTTTCTGATTAAAAGCTTTTTTGTACCAAAATTTTCAAAATATCGTTAATTTTCCTAGCAGTTTCCATAAAAATCGGTAGATCTAATTCTAATTGTCATTATTTAACTGATTATCTATTTCAAAAATATAGTCTTCGCGATTTTGAATGACACAGCAATTACCCTTGTCACTCTTTCGAATAATAATGGTCGGATATTTTTTCAAAGTGTTCAAAATACAGCGTCAAAATTGGTAAGGTTGTTCTTTTCGTTTACCAGTGGAGACTTCTGTCGCATTTACTCAAAATATTATGGTCAATCGCACTGTCTGGTGGATTCCAGCCAGACTTTTCTACGAACGGGATTCGCTTTCCTCGACCTAATCTTTCTCGAAAAAAATAATTTAGTTAAAAAGTCCTATTGACATGCTCAACCGACGACAAAATTGGTACACGTGAAAGAGGTTTAGATGTAGGTTTAAAAGTTAATCCTCTATCTAAAACTCTTTCTTCAAGGGGAGAAAGTTTACGCGAGCTCAGATTCACGACGGTCTGGACTAGTTTTACGATGTTTCCTCCGCGTTTAGTTTAAATGGGAGACCCATTGTGAGACCCATTGTGAATAAATAGCTATAGCAGTGAGGGGTCATCCAGAGGATGTGATCCGAAAAGACACCAATCATTCCATTGAAGCGGGGAATAATTTTCGCGTCGAATGAAGGCTTGTGATATAACAGGTAGTTGAATCTTCTGAGGTTGGTAGCTGACTGGGGATTTGAAAGTTGAAGACCTTTGGAAAATGGTATCTGAGTAACAAATATAGCTGATGTTGGAAATTTCACTTTAGCTAATTTTACCAATTCCATCATTCGCCTATGGATTGATTCACCAGATTCGTCTCTGTTGTTCAAACCAATGTGAAATAAGACCTTCGGAACTGTAAATAGTAAGTGGATGATGTGAAACACGCGCACCGGGAAATGATTCAGCTTGCATATCAGGATCAATAGTGGGAATGTTGCTCACGTTCGAAGACCTATTATGAGTTGACTTAGGCAGTGACCATTTGGTTTTATCTTTTTGGTTTTCGTGGCGTCTTGGTTTACATGGGGGTGGTGAATTCAGACCCAACCGACGACGAGAGGTTGTATTGGTTTTGGATTGTGGAGTTTCTGGATTGGATCGTGGACTGGTATTTGGCGGCGATGAGGATGGAAGAGAGAATCGGATATGAGTGGTACGGTACTGGTATTCGGTCTTTTATTGGGTGTTGGTACGCGTGATGACGTACTTGGTATCTGCGTTAGCGATGGTGTACGTTTTGGCATGACGGTGATACGTTCTTGGTTGGTGGCGAGCTACTAGGAATATCCATGTCCTCTACCACACTCCTAAATTTCAAATCATCAATAATTCGCGTGAACTGATCCAAAGTTTCTTTTTGAAGCCGTCGATATGACCATATTAATAGCTTCCGTAGAGTGTTTTCGTAGGTCAGATTCTAAAACATTTTGTGATTTGATCAAGTTAATTTTGGTGGCAAGCTGTGAATCATAATGATCCTTAAGAGCTAAAGCCACATTTATTGCCCAGGATTTATTAACTGCCTCAATGGCCGGGGAAATCTGGTGGGTTTTTAAAGCTGGTTTTACAAACCTAATGTAAGATAAGGAATACTACACGACGACTCAACTGACAAGCCTAACGTCCTAAATGCACAGTTTCAACAAGCATTTTCAAGTAAAACAGACCTAAATGAGACAGAATTTCAGACAAGATGTAACATGTCCGGTCAACACAACGATCTATCCTTCACACTAGAAGAATAAAGCTCCTAAATGGTCCAAATCCACATAAAGCAGTCAGTCCAGAGAACGTCTCCCCGAAGATTCTTAAAGAACTTATTGAATATATTGATGATATCACTAAAAACAAACGGACTGATCATGGACTTCGACAAAGTCAGCCATAGTCTACTCATCCAAAAGCTACCACACTATGGAATAATAGGGAAAACAAACAAATGGATCAAAAGCTTCTTCTCTGAGAGGACGCAGAGAGTCCTGGTAGAAGGAGAAACATCATTGAGTTAGAGTCAGGTGTACCACTAGGACCTAGTCTCTTCCTCTTCTATATAAATGACATGTCAAAGAACATTCAAACCACTGTGAGGCTCTTTGCAGATGACACCATCATCTACGGTATACATTACCGAACAACAGATGACGATACCCTTCAAGAAGATTTAGACAAATTGGCCCTTTAGGAAGAAAGGTGGATGATGAAATTAAAAGTATTTGGAAATAAACATCCGAAACATCTGCCTAAAAGCAATTAAAACGATTTGATTCTGCAAATGAAACCTCAACATGACAATGCTATCAAAGAAATAGCCTTCATCTCACTTGTAAGACCATCAGTTGAGTATGCGAGTATTGTGTGGGATCAAAATCTCCAAAAAGACAAAACCAAACTAGATAATAATATGGTACAGAGAAGACCAGCTAGATATGTCAATAAACTCATACCACCAGAAAGAATCTCCAGAAATATGACCGAAAACTCTTTCAAGATACCATCATGCTACACCACAACGAGGAAAGAATCAATCTACCAGTATGGATTAGAACGCCTTGCCCTACCCTATGACATCTGTCAGTATTCTCGAATCCTTAAAGAGACTCCTGACCAAAAATTAAATCATTAATCACTTGTTTTTAACCCTCACTGTAGATTAAATGTATAGCACCTATCTTGTATTTTAAAAATTATTCAATGCGCACATCCCAAAATGA